TGGGAGGGCCAATGAACGTCTTGTTTCCTTCTGCAATGCCAGCCCCCCTTTGGGGGAGTTAAATCAGAGACAATGACACTCCAAGTTGGTCTGGTATTAGGCAAAAGGTCACACGGTGGTGCACTAGCTGTGGGCAGAGCTGGTGAGAAATTGTGCAGGTCAAAAGGTGAGCACAGGGAAACACTGCAGGGGGGGGGGGGATGTGACATTGACCCATCTGTGGAATGAATTTGAAGATCAGATCAGATTGGATGAATTGTGGATTTTTGTGCGTATACAAAGTGGAAACAATCTTCCAGTTTTCCAGGTTTTATTTTTGTTGCACTCCTTTAGTGGGGTGCTGTGGTGCGTGGGTGGGAGCAAGGAAGACAGCTCAGGAACAGGCAGGTGCCTTCTCTTCTGGTACAGCCATCCTTACTTCAGGAGGTCACCTCTGCAGACTGTTCAGCCCCATCAACTACTTGGGGGGTTTCAGTTGCCCTGCTGGTTTGGACTGCCAAGGTGAGAAAAGTGGGATTGGTGCTCCAGACTCTTCTTACCCCACCTCTCCGTGGGAGGTATAAGCTGCCTGGTAGTCATCTTGGACAGACTGGTCTTGAGACCCCAGCGTGGCTGAGATTGTATCTGAAAGGCCGTCACTCACAACCTCCCAGTGGTAGATGCTTTAATTTTTGTCCATGGTGGTTTCCTGCTCAGGGCGCTTGGGTCATCGGACCCCGCTCCCCCAGGCCACCATCACAACCTTCCTCAGTGGTAAGTTTGGCAGTGTGCAGTGCCGACCCTTCTGCTTCTGGGCAGTGAGGCAGACGCTGCTCTCACCCGATATTTACCCCAGTCAGGGAGCCACCAAGGGCCCAAGTGGGGCTTGAATGTCTTCCAGTAGTTCACTTGAATGGAGAGAGAGGCTCCTCTCCAGACCTCTTTCTTTTTGGAAATTCGCTTGTGTAGCATGTTTTACATTGGAAAGTATGTGTGTGTACATGTATGCATGATGCTTTTCATGTAATCTTCCCTACCCCCCCCCCCAACATGCACACGCACTCATTTTGGCAACTGACTAGAGGAGCAGCTGAAAAGGCTAAAAAGATATGCCCATTCAGAGCGAGGATAGATTCAATTAAGGTGCCTGCTGACATGTCTGAATGCTGCCTGTGTGACCCCCTGCTTGACTGGAATGGTCTTTGGAAGAAGCCTGTTACGGTTGCGTTTAAGTGGTCTCCCTTTGGCCCCTTAATATTTGAAGCATCCTTAACAGGTGCCGTCTGAGCAGGTTTATGGGCCAATTATGTATTCTTTTAGTTAAGCAAAGTTCTTTTCAAAGATGTTCTGGAAATGACCGCAAAAGGACCCCTAGGGATGTCCCCCCCCCTTTTTTAACCAGAAAATTAAACCAATCTTTCCAAAAAGTGACAGATCCTAGCTACAACTGGTTGACGCAGGAGTTGTCAGAAAGTGAAATAGACTTTCACTTATGTCCAGGTCTAGTTTTTAAAGGTTCAGAGTTCTCTCACTTAAAACGGATTGTAACCCAGAGGTGATAGCTGAACAGGTGTGTAAGGAGAGGGGAAAGATCAAAGTCCATGGGTCCAATGCTAATGGGGAAAAGGTTTCCCCCGACTGGGGGGGGGGGGAATATACCCCCTCAGGGCTGCTTCAGTAGGTGAAGATAAGTTAGTTCAGAAATCATTGAGATGTGTGTGTGTGTGATTAGAATACCAAAAACAAACAAACAAAACCCCCACTGAGTTGGAGAACATGACTTACAGTTCTGCCTTCTAAGCATGGCAAGGCTAAAATAACCAAAACAAGCCCTTCAGTTCCTACAGGGAACAGAATCTCTAGTTCAGCTGCAGATTGTTTTGACAAGCCCCTCCCATTGGATTGCCTTGTGACTCTTGCCTGAATTCCTATTGGCTATGGGAAGCCAGTGAGGGAAACAAAACAAAAAAAGGTGTAGCTACATTGAACCCCTGAGCATGGGTGACTGGCATGTTGGCAGTTCTTTGGCAACCCACAGCTTAGTGCAAAAAAACTTATGTTGTAGCTTGTAAAGTTATTACTAAAACTGTTTTATTGACTAGCAGAGTATGTGTGACTTCTTCACGGTATATTCAGCAAAGGGGGGGAGGGGGAAGTGAGGTTGCAGAGTTAGAATTACTGAGAGCCAAAATTCCCGAGGTCCCTCTGGAAGGGTGTTAGATGCTGGGGCTTTGGTCGCACTGTCCAAATTGGGTACGTGTGAGTAAGGTGAAAAATTGCCCAGACCAACAGTCATATTGAACTTCGGAAAGACAAGTGTTGAAGTACAAAGAGATGAGTTCCTGGGAAACTGAAAAGTTGGGGGTGGGGGAGGATCAAATGCCTTCAGGAAGTTGGTATGTTATTTATTAGAAGCACCCTAAATTAGTCAAAAGGGAAGCCATTGCAGTTTGGGAAGTGAGGGCAAAAGGGTTTTCTTTTCAAAAGGGAAATGTCTTGCCTATATGAAGAAAACAAGAGCATTATTTATTTAGAACATTTTTACCTGCTCTACATCTGAAAGTGGACTCAAGGCAAGTGACAGTGATGCTAAAGGCAGTCAGGCAAAAAGACAAAACAGATTAGCCACGTGCACCAGAAGCCCTCAGCCTTCCCAATCCACTCCACAAAGTAGAGGCTGCCACTCAGAATGCTGACACTTCAGTTTTGCAGGAAAGAATAAGCAGCAGGGGCTGCTTTGAGGAAGTGAAATTGTGGCAAAGTGGGAGAGGCTGTCCTGCAAGAATGTAAACTGGCAGTAAAGCAGCCTCCCAAATATCTGCACAGTACATTGCCAAAGACACAAGAATAATAATTCTTTAAAAATATTTCAAAACCAGGAAACTGACAGTGGAGAGTGTTCGATTTCACAACTTCCGTGGCCTGTCTCACCACACTGGTAACATTTTTTCCATGTCTCTTCCTCTCTGCCCTGAGGTGTTTCCCTGGCTATTTTGCCACCACCACCACCCCTTCAGTGGGGAGAGCCATCCAAACTGGTCACACCTCCTTTCGCTCCAGGCAGGGCTATGTAAATTTGTGTAGACTGTATTGACTCAGGGAGAGGCTGACCCTCCATTTTCGATACGCTTCAACCTAGCTCCACTTTCTTGGAGACTTGCCTTACTGATTTGGAAGATGGAAAAGCCTTGAAGAAAGGCTCCAAGTGTTTGGGAGGAGACAAGAAGGAGAATGTTTGGTTCATCATCATGGCTTCTGTGCAGGCACACATGGGCACTGCACTTCTGGCCTGCCACGGGGGTAGGGGGGGAGAGCTAGTGAGCCCTAAAGAGAAATTTCTAGTATCCCAAGAGTCCTCCCACTCCCTGCATCACTGTGAGCTTCCCGCCCAAAAGGTTACGTGATATGGGAGGAGTAAGTACTCTCCACTCAGTTCTCTTTGCCGTCACAAAGAGAGGATGTGTCTTGCGAGCTTCAAGTTGTGAGGTGAATTCCTGTCAGGATTCCCTCCTTGTCTCATTCATACAATGGTTTTGTTTAAAAAGTGTTCTGAATGTGGGGCCAAGATGGCTCAAACAGATGAACATTGCTCCTGCCTACTCAGACTGGGCAATGGCCATAATACTAACTTATGCGAGATGAGGGAGGGCTGTGCTGTGCGTCTGAAGGCCTCTCTATGGGAGAAAGCTCTCACCGCACCAGAGGCTTTGCCTCAGAAACACCAGGAGAAAAGTCCCAATCCACCTTTGGTGAGTTTGGCTCCCCCGATTACTACAGTTTCTCAGACTGCAGAAGCCTCCAATACTGCCGGGGCAGTTTCCAAGCCTCGGGCAAAAAAGACCTGTAAGATTAAAAACCGCAGCTGGCAGCGTTCACTCTCGCTTGCACCATCATGGTTCACCCCGCAGCCGCCAATCACCCTTGCCTAGACATCAGGATTCAGTATTGGCTCGGTGCTGTTCACCAACACCGGGCGCGGAGACTCAATGTTTTGTCTCTCGTGGGCATTCGCCTCCAATGCTCCACTTTGTATCGGTCTCACCTTGGCACCATTCCCCTTCCTGGCACCTCGATATTGGAAGACGTTCAAGGCTGAGATCTAGGGAATTGCCAGGATCCTCAGACGTCGAGCTCATTGAGGATCCTGCATCTAAACGTTCACACAGGGACCATGGCGCCCATCGTCCTCCTTTGTCTATGCCACCACTGACCTGAGCAGATTGGGATCACTACCACCCTGCCCCTTGCTATGTGGAGTCATCCTCAATCCAAGTCTACTAATCAGATTTGATTGACACTGAGGCTGGATGAAGTTAAAGAGACAGGGTCCTATGTCTCCGGATCCGAGATTGACGTCGGCAATTACTCCAACCACGATTCGGAACCAACTTAAATTTCATCGCCAGACAACACCTTCGGTTCCAGACCAGCAGTGTCTCCTACAGACAATCTGAAATCCTACTCAGACCAGATCATTAGAATGGCAAATGCCCTTGATTTGCAATGCATTGCATTGGAACTGAAGTCCAAGGATCTGCTGATGCATGTCCTGTTTTCCCCAGACTCAGGGTCAGTTGCCCTTCCATTTATACAGGGCTTACAAGAAGTTCCTTTTGCAGCTTCGACTCCTGCTTTGGCCAGGAAGTTGGAGAACCTCTATAGGGTTAAAGAGAGTGACTGCTCTTACCTGTTTCAACATCCCAAGGTAAATTCCTTTGTATCCTAAGTACTTCCAGCATGAGCCCCCTTCGGGTCCCATGGTTTGCCCAGTGACAAGGAAGGGCGTAAATTAGATTATGTTGGCTGCAGGATCTATTCTTTGGAAGCTGTGGGCCTCTATGTGGTCAACTTTGCTGCGGTGATGGGACTTTACAATAGGTTATTATGGGAGAAGATGTTCCCTTTCATTGATGCTCTGCCCACAGAAAAACAGCCCTGATAGAAGAGGGAATGAAGTTCAGGAAACA